ATGTTTCATCTATATTTTTAAATATTTAGTAATTAATACTTTATAGTAATTATAACATTAAATTAATTATTATTTACTATTATTAAGATTTTCTATAAAGGACTCATCAAATAATTCATCGGCGAATTCAAACTTTAATGCCTTTATACATGGATTAACGACCAAAAGAGTGATATATTAGACTCCACTAAAATAAGTTGTCAATTCGTCAAATGGCCTAAATACTTCTACCAATTGTTTTAATAACTGCCATTCAAAATCTTTAAGCATATAACGGTTCAATTTGGCAGAATCTTCTTTAGCGGTATCTTTATTTTGTAGAGGTAAAGTTCCAGAAAGCCATTCGATTGCTGGACGTAAAGTTAAAAGTCTCTGCCAAGATTTGTATGATGAATTCCAACAGGTTTTAGTATCCTTAATAGTACGCAAAATGGATGGTATTTTATATGTTTCTGCCTCATCATTATCTTCTGTTTCAGATATGTTTTCAGATATATTTTTAGAATGAAGTTGAATAGGCTTTGTACGGGTTGCATTATGGTTTGCCAAGTCAATCTATGTCTGGTCAAGGCGTTGACTTTGTTTTGAATATTAGAAAAATTTGATGAGTTTTTTAATACATTTAGTATATAGATCAATAAATTTTAAAGTCTGAAGAACTGTAAGTTGTAGTATATACGCAGTACAAGGTAAGGGTATAGACATTTATCACCTGATTTTTTAGGGTAGGGGGGCAAAGACAAAATCAGGTACTATATATATTGATTAGATTAGCTAATTAAATGATTTGATATATATTATATTTAATATATATTATATTCAATATATATACTGTATAATATATACAGTATATATATATTCCATGATCCCTAATATAAATTTTTATCAAAAATGTTATAGTATAGAATATTACATGGTGTATCATGACATCATGTATGTATTATCACAGCTTTATATACTAATTTATGATATTCACGCATTACTCTCAAAACCATAGCAATAAAAATTTAAATACTGTATATATTTAAAGAGATTATGTATTTATAGAGTGCAAAATAAATAAAGCTTTATAATCTAGGATGGACTATATCAAAATCGCGTACAGAATTTATTTCTTGAATACGTATAGGTTAATTGTTAATGTATGCTAAGCGCACATTAAGTTTTACATGATCTGTGCATCTGTACTAGAGATAGGCAAAAATTTTGATAAAACTGATATGCCAAGATAAAAAAAAAAACTTAAAAGTTTAATATTTATTTTTTTTTAAAAAAATAAAATTTAATTTATTGCACACAATTAATGATTAATTTAATGATTAAACATTATCAAGATTTTCTAAAACTAACCAGTTCTCTAAAGTTTTTTCTTGAATACTATGCATAGCTTAAATAGAAGATTCAATTATGTTTGCATTACATTTTCAAAATTTTCTTCCAAATTATCATCATTATTTTCCATATCATCAAATTCAATATTCGATGCTGTATTTCAAAACTTGCTTTATTAGACTAATTGAACAATTTGATCAAGCATATTTTCTTTATTTTGAACAATATGATGTGAATTATTTCTTTCTTGTGCAATATACCATCGAATGCATGTTATTTTTTGTTGCATGTTTATTTATAAGTTTTTTACACTATAGTGAATGGATATTTGCAATAAATGACCAGAATCTTTTGCTTTTAGCAAAAGTAGATGGTATTAACATAGCTAATTCTGGTACAATTGATCTTTTTATTTTCAAACAATTTTGCATATATATATGCAGTTTATAGTTTACTATAGAATCAATGACTCTTAAATTAATAATATATAATATATAATTTATATATAAAGGCTAAATTTTAGCTATTGTTTACATAATAATTACATTGTCCATCCCTAATCTGTACTATATACATTCGTATATCTGATTTTTGCTATTCGTATAATCTTAGACCTTTTGCACTTGTGTATTTATACCAATCTATAATACATGGATTTAGTACATATATATCGTTCAGCTTACTACATAGTACATATTTATTTTTTAAAATACATGCTTCTAAACTCTAATTAATATTTATTTAAAACTTTTTTTTTTTTATATTGTATTTTTGCAATCTTAAGCTGTAATTTGGAGTTAAATTTGAAATAAAGAAGTATTTTCTATATATTTAATTAGATTTAACCTTTTAAACTGTCACTTACCATTCTAAATTCTTATTCTGAGACATAATCAAAAGCAACAGCTATGGCAATAGACTCGTAATCAGATATTTTAACTGAAGATAAAGGCATGGAAAAGTCTTCGATAATAGCAGAATTTGTTTCAAATTGAGGTTTGCCTAATTGTTTACTGTAATATTAACGAATTTTTATTAACATTTCTCTTATAATTTTCCTTAACTTTTATTATATATTTTATATGTTTATTATATATTTTATCATTTTATTAGTTTATTTACATAGTTTATAATATATTTT